AACTTCAAGCGAACCAACATCAGAATTATTGGGGTCCCAGAAGATGAGAGAGAGCAAGATACTGAAAACATATTGAAAGAAATAGTTACAGAAAACTTCCCCCACCTGGGGAAAGAAATAGACTTACAAGTCCAGGAAGCCCGCAGAACCCCAAACAAAAGGAACCCAAAGAGGATCACACCAAGACACATCATAATTAAAATTCCAAGAGCAAAAGGCAAAGAGAGAATATTAAAAACAGCAAGAGAAAAGCATATAGTTACCGATAAAGGAACACCCAACAGAAACCAAGCAGGCCAGACAGGAATAGCAAGAAATATTCAAGGTGATGAATAGCAAGAACCTACAGCCAAAAATACTCTACCCAGCAAAGCTATCACTTAGAATCGAAGGCCAGATAAAGAGCTTCACAAATAATAAAAAGCTAAAGGAGTTCATCACTGTCAAACCAGAATTATATGAATTGCTAAATGGGGTTCTTTAGGAAGAGGAAGAAAATAAAGATAAAAATTATGAACAACAAATATGTAACTATCAACAAGTGAATCTAAAAACCGAGGGAATTAAAAAATCTGATGAACAATATTAACTGATGAATATAATAGAATCAGAGGTGTGGAAGGGGAGTGGACTTACGATTCTCGGGGAAAAGGGGAATAGGGGGTGAGGGAAGATACTAAACATAAATTATGCACCTATGGATGAGGACAATGTGGGGTGGGCAAAGGGCAGAGGGTCGGGTGGGAAACTGGTGGGGGGGGGTTGGAATGAGGAACTTTTGTAACAATATGAACAATAAAGATTTATTTTTTTAAAAAGAAAAAAATGTGAAGAAAAAAATAATGTTTATCATGTGATCTCAATTTAAAAATATATATATAAGTATAAGCTTGCATACAATACAAGAAACAGAGATTGAGGCTATACTGTACTCCAAAGTGTTAATATTTGAATTGTTGAATAAAGTAATTTTAATTTTCATGATTTCTGTAACTTACAAAATAAAATAAAATAGAGGTAATATGCAAATTGATCATCTCTCCAACACACAAGATAGCTACTCCAATGTAGACACAAGATGACTACCACAAGATGGCCAGCAGGGAAGGGCAGTTGGGAGGGACCAGGCCAGCAGGGGAGGGCAGTTAGGGTGACCGGGACTGGAGGGGAGGGCAGTTTGGGGCGATCAGGCCAGTAAGGGAGCAGTTAGGTGTCAATCAGGCTGGCAGGGGAGTGGTTAGGGGTTGATCAGGCTGTCAGGCAGAAACAGTTAGGGACAATCAGACAGGCAGGCAGGCAGGCAAGCGGTTGGTAGCCAGCAGTCCTGGATTGTGAAAGGGATTTCTGACTGCCTATTCAGGCTTGATTCCACCAGGCAGTCGGACGTTTCTCGGGGGTTCCAGAATGGAGAGGATACAGGCTGGGCTGAAGGACACACACACACACTGCACAAATTTCGTGCACTGGGCCTCTAGTTTTATTATAACATGTCTTGGTATTGGTCTTTTTTTATTTATCTTGTTTGGGACTGAGCATCTTGGATTTGTGTGAGTTTTTTCTTTATATTAGGGAAGTTTTCTGTTATTATTTCTTCAGACAGGTTTTCTATTCCTTGCTAAGTGTTCTCTCCTCTGTCACCCTTTGTTGTTGTTTTGTTTTATGTTGTCCGAAAGTTCCCTTATGATCTCCTCCTGTTACTTAAGGTTTGTTTTTTTTTTTCTAGATGCTGCTCTGCTTGGGTATTTTTCCCGCCTTGTCTTCTAGCTCACTGATGTGGTCCTCTGCTTCTTCTAGTCTACTGTTGATGCTTTCTATTGTGTTCTTTATTACGGTGATGTCATTTTTCATTTCTTCTTTGTTATTCTTCATTTCCTCTTAGTTTTTACACGTTGAATTTGTCTTCCATTCTTTCAGCAACCTTATGAACATTGCGCTGAATTATTTCTCTTACATGTTGCTTGCCTCCTTTTCATTTACTTCGTTTTCTGGTGATGCCTACTTTTTTTTCATATGTGGGCTGTTTCTTAGTAGCCCCATGATCACTCATTTCTGGATGTCTGGTTATGTAGCTTCTCTGTCCTGCATTGACTGTGTTTAATTCACCAGTTCTGGGTGGATATTAATTGATACAGTTGTTCCTTCTCTCAGCTCTGTGAGAAGGCATAGGGCTCGTCCACATATTCACGCCACTTTGTCTCCTTCTGGACTGACTTTCTAGGTCCCTGAAGTTAGAGATGCTGAAGTCTTGGTGTTCCTGGGTTCTCAGCTGAGGCAGTTTGTCCCTGGGGGTTGTGGTTGTAGGGTCATAGGAGGTATTTGAGGTCTCCTCAGTTGAAGGTAAGTCTGTGCTTTAGATCACTGCCATTCTCCTCTTCAAGATGGTGGGGTCTCCACGGCAGAGTTCACCACTCCAGGAGAGATTTCAACAGCAGTAGAGGCTGCCCAGCCAGGAGAACCCAATCCGACAGTCTCCAACAATTCTTTGGAATATAACTGCCCCTCACTCACAAATACAGACACTCCCTGCACTTCTACCACTCTCCTTTTTTCTTTCACTTACACACTATCTTGCAGCTCACCTTCCCATCAGCAGCCATCTTCTGTCACTAATTTTTGACACCTTCACTAATAAGTGCCTTGAATTGGGCCTCTTTGAATTGAGGTAACTAGGTGTTCTGTTTGCTTCTTGAATTCCATGATCTAGTTCTTTCTATAGATTTGGGAAGTTCTCGTTCACTATTTGTTTTAAGATTCTCCATTCTCTGCTCTCTTTCTTACTCCTCCACAATGCCTGTGATTCTGATGTTACTTCTTCCAAGGGAATCCGGAAGGTCTAACGGAGCTCTTTCATTTTTCTTTAATCTCAGATCTCTCTCTTCCCTCTACATAATTTCTTGATTCCTGTTTCAGTATCACTAGTTCTTTCCTCTAATTGGTGGGTTCTGTTTTTTATGCTCAACAGTTTACTCTTAATCTCCTTAATTGCCTGGTTCATTTCCAGTTATTCTGATATTCATTTTTAAAGTTTCAATTACTTTGGAGAAATACTCATTTTGTTCACTGATTTGCTTTCTGAGTGTACTGAATTGCCTGTCAGTATTTTCTTGCATCTCATTGAGTATTTTTAGAACTGCAATCTTAAAATCTTTGTCATTTATATCAGCAGTCACCAATCAGTGGTCCACGGACTACTGTGGACCATGAGATCTGATAGGTTGGTGACCGCTGAGTTATGTCACATAATCCCATGTGTTCCAGTATACTTTCTGGGGATTTTTCATTTTCTTTCTGGCTATCATTCAGTGGTTCTTCATGGTATTTGCTGCTCTCTTTTTTCGCATATGTCTCCTAGAAGGTCTTTCTACTATCTTCCAGTAGATGGCACTGAATCAAAAGATTTTTACCTCTGTGAGCTCCCAGATTTGAGCCTCTGCAGCTTGGGACAGTACAGCTGTGCTGCTTGGGGATGAGGTTGGTTTTGCCCTCACTGTAATGGCTACCCCTTAATTTCTGTTTGTCTGGCCCATGCACCCATCCTGAGGTTCAGGCACAGAAGGAAACAGCAACTATATTGCGGCAGCTCTTGATTTATAGATAATGTGCTCCTGGAGCCAATGCCAAGGGAAATGGGAGGCAAGTTTTGGCTGTCTAGTCATGCATCAGGGCCCTTTATTTCCTTTCTTTATCTGAAACACCACCAGCAGGCCCAGCCCTGGGGAGCTGCATGGCAGCACCCCATTCTCTGTTGGGCCAGTGTCTGCTAATCAGTTGCTGTTTGGTCTCCTGGTGGCTTGCAGATATGTATGCACAAGTTAGACCCTATTAGCTCTGGCTGTTGGTAGCTCTCTGCTCGCCAGTTGCAGCTTGCAGATTGCCCTGCTCTCTTCCTCCCCCTCTCCCCCACCCCTAGGGGCTGAAGGAAATGCCTGCTACAGCCACCCTGGCCAGGCTCTGAGTTCCCCCCTGAGCTGAAGGGCTGAGTATGTAGTCTATGTCTGCACTTTCCTCCCTTCTCATCTCTCCATTTATCCCTGAATGCCCACCTTTATTTAGGTGTTTCAGTGTGCGAGTCTCCCAGGCATGCATCTGTGTTGATCAGGGATTTTTTTGTTGAATTATAGATGGTTTAGTTGTTGTAACGTCAGGGGGAGAGGAAAAGATGTGCTCTTATGCTGCCATTCCTCTGACATCACTCTCTGGCCTCTGTTTTGATGAGAATGTGACTGTTGCCTATGGCACAGGACAGCACATGAGAATAGACTTCCCTTTCTGTCAGATAAGTACTCTGGTTTCTAAAGTTATAAAGACCATGTCAGTTGGATCCATAATCGTGGCATTTTTCATAACTTATTGGGATTCATCAATGGATTATTCTCTGACTGTACCGGAAAAAGTGTAGCAGGACATCAGCAGATCTAAACTGAACCCTGTGTGGTTATTACCAAGGCCTGGATGACATTCAGGACTCAGGTTTTGAGAGTAGCATCTTTACATGTCTGATGATAGGCATTGATAAGACATATTCCAAAAACTCAGTGAGTCACTAGAATATCAAATCAGATCATGAACTTTGTGTTACTTGCTTAAAAATTATACCTTTAATTTTAAAAGTAATTTTTATCTTTTTATGATTTTGTTTGGACAAAAAGTAGAATTTTCAAATAATATAAAGAAAACCCAAGTATGAATATGTTAATGTAATCATTGGATTATCTAATTTTAATATACCTACAGAATACAGAAGAGAATATATGATTAATTAGTATTTTTCTAGACATTTTCCTGAGAGAACACAAGTGGAAATACTCTTTTAAATGAATGATGATTATCTAATAACTCTGGATTCTCTTTCTCTTTCTTCATTTCTCACCTTTCATTCCATTATATTATCCTGCATTTCCCTTTTATTTTTGTTTCTGTTAAATGCCACTTTTTAATTACTTTTTACCCAGACACTTCTGAGGTTGATTTATTTGTTATTAATGCTCCATACACTCCAGTGCCAGATCCCACTCCCATGATGCCACCAGTGGGAGTCCAGGCTTCCATTCTGAGTCATGATACCATAAGGATTACTTGGGCGGACAATTCACTGCCCAAACACCAGAAGATTACAGACTCTCGCTACTACACAGTCCGATGGAAAACCAACATCCCAGCAAACACCAAGTATAAGGTACTGGCACTTGTGCTCTGGGTAAGAAACGCTAAATATGGATATTTCCTCAATCTAAAGTTCTTGAATCATATATTTCCAGAATGCAAATGCAACGACTTTGAGTTACCTGGTGACTGGTTTAAAAGCAAATACACTCTATGAATTCTCTGTAATGGTGACCAAAGGTCGACGATCAAGCACATGGAGTATGACAGCCCATGGGACCACTTTTGAATTAGGTATGTTGTCAGAACCTTAGGTCATATGGCATTTCTTTTCTGCAAGATATGAAAGTCAGTGGAAGTTCCTGCTAATGTTGTGCCACATTTCAAATCATGAGACTTATTCACCTTCTTTTACTAACCAAGGATGAATTGAGTATGTGAATGTATTTACCAAATGCAGTGAGCAACTATAGCTGGAGTTCAATGTTTGATTTCTCAGCTGACGAATTATGTTTTTTTAATCATTGTACAAGAACAATAACAGGATAATATAATACAAAGTATACTAAATTTTAGGAATGGAGACTTGAGTTCAATCCCAGGTCAGCCATCTACTGAGTATAATAATAAGCAAGTCATTCAGCCTTTCTAAATAAAAGAGGGGTGATAACCTCTGCCTTTCCTACTTTACATGGTTATTGTTAGGATGAAACAAGGAGCAGATGGGAAAGCACAGGCTGTTATAAAGCACTGTGCATGTGGGAGGGGTTCTTGTCATTAGTCCAGCTTTCTGGGTAAACTTGAGAAAGAAAAGATGAAGCGGCCTGCCCTTTACCAAGCAGCTGCAGTGCTGTTTATGGAGTTTAACACTTACCAGTAGCTCTCTTGCAAACCAATTAGTGACTTGTAAAATCTTTCACTGGAGAATCCTTAGGGTTTTTGTCTGTAAGTAAACATGAAAGAGAAAAGTCAAGTAAGCAAACTAAGCCCTCTCCAGGTTTGAGATTCTGTTTGCTTTTTGCTTACCTGTAGGCATACGCTTCTGCTTCTTATACTTTCCCAGCATGAAGTCATGTGTAATTATTGGTAGTCTGTATCTTACTCTAGACCCTATTTTTTTCTCTCTCCTGTATACAAATAATGAAAAAAATGGAGTAGTAGTATCTCCCCAGAAGGCTGTCCCTAATGTTTTTGTTTTCTGAACAGTGGGTTATACATCCTACAGAGAAAAGGGTTTGGATCTGGAGAGCTAGAAATAAGTGTAACAAAAGCTTACATGGACCTTGAGTTTGCTTTCTTGGACAGTTTTAAGAATATCTTTTTGTTTTAATTCCAACCTATTAGCTAATAAATGACATTATGTATTTCCTTAGGATATTTGCATTTTACCAGTCTTTCTTTCATTTTTATACCTACTAGCACTGTAGGAAGGGAAAATTTTAAGGATGTTCTTAATTTGCTCATTTCCCTACTAGTACATTGAAAGTTTTCAGCAAAAACTTAGAAACAAAAAATGCAGTCATTTTTATTTTATTGTTTTTCTGTTTCATAAAATGCTTTGTATTTCAAAGCAGTAAGCTCAAATTTGACTATATGTATTTATTGCAAACTTTAAATAATAAACATCAATTTATAAATCATGTTCTTTGAAGGAATTTGGGGTTTTCAAATATTTGGTTTGAAGAGGCAACTATAAGGTGAGAGAGAAAATTATTTTACATTTTAAAATAGCCTAACAAAATAATCCAAATTAGAGGAGAATGTCATCTTGGAAAAATTACATAACTTTTCTCATTTTTAATGTCTTGATGTGCTAAGTAGGGATAGCGGTAACTACATTTCAAGTTGCCATAAACATGAAGAGAAAAATTACTTTTAAAATGCGTGGCATATATTGCCTTTTTTATTTCTCTACCTACTTACCGTGCATATCCCTGTCCCCAGCAAAAATACCAATCATGTATCTTTATAGTGTGGTATTCTCTCTGATATTTTGCATATTCTTTTTATTGGAGCTATTTGTAGATAGACTGTAAGTTCTTTGAAGTCAGGAGGCTTTATTTTATTTTATTATATATATTTTTTGCCTTAAACCCTTGATTATAACTTATAAATGGAAAGGGTTGAGGAAATGGTAAATAAAATTGAAATGGACAGGAATTATTAAAAGTATTGTTATTTTGTAGTTCCTACTTCTCCACCCAAAGATGTGACAGTTGTAAGTAAAGAGGGAAAACCTAGGACCATAATTGTAAATTGGCAACCTCCCTCTGAAGCCAATGGCAAAATTACAGGTAAGATGCTTTGAATGTGTTTCTGTACCTTTTACTGCCAGGCAGAACACTCCAGGAGAGTTCTGTGTTGGGAGAAGTGGGAATCTGAAAGCTTGCTTGGTCATTTACAAGGTACTATGAGTCATAATGGTCACAAAAAAGTGGAGCAAAGGGGAGCTGCTATTTTCCCACAGGAACATAAAAATGAGTCACCAGCTAATTGTTCTAACTCACTTTGAGAGTCTGATGAGCACAGGTTAGGCTAGACAGCCTTTGGATATAGTAATACCTTATGACATATTTATTTTCTTCAGGAAAGCAATTCTTCTCTGCCTCTGACTGCATGACCTGCTTTGAAGACCCTGCTTAATTCTATAGGGTTATTCCCAATGAACAGAGATTCATCTCTTTTACTCTAAAGCCCATTAGACTGTTAATTCCTTTTCCCCTCTCTAGGCCTGCTACTTTACTTTAGTTCCTATGCTTTTACAACTAGAGTTAGCAGTTTGAATTGGCATAGGCCTTTGGAGGGGTATGGACTATTTCCTTGGGCTTCTAGAGGAGGAGACCCTTCCACAATAAATATTGTCTCCTTTTCAGCCTTGTCAAGGAGGAAAGGGATTTAGCTGTTAAATATTCTCCTTGGGCCGAAACTGGTTTGGCTCAGTGGATAGAGCGTGGTCTGCGAACTGAAGGGTCCCAGGTTCGATTCCTGTCAGGGGCATGTACATTGGTTGCGGGCACATCCCCGGAAAGGGGTTTGCAGGGGGCAGCTGGCTGATGTTTTTCTCTCATCAATGTTTCTAGCTCTTTATCCCTCTTCCCTTCCTCTCTGTAAAAAAAAATCAATAAAATATATATATATATTTTAAATATTCCCCTTGGGACCTCTGCCCAAGAGTATATTGTGTGAGGAACAAAGTTTGCCTTCTGAAGTTCTTTGGTATGAATAGGGTGGCCTAAGAAAACTGAAAGCATTGTTCTGTTTCAGCTTTCAATAGAAATTCCTTTCCATAAATTCCTAGGCTTTTGTTTTTTTGTTTTGTGTGTGTGTGTGTGTGTGTGTGTGTGTGTGTCAGTTTTTTAGGTTTTTTAATTTGCTTCTCATAAAAGAATCAAGCATGATTTGACCTGCATTCCATTGTACTTCGTATTTAAAGCCCACTAATAATGCACTGGATTGGGTCAGGTAGGCTTGTGCTTATGGGTCTCTTTGCCTCAGCCATGGAGATTGAGTGCCCTCTGGTGGAAGTTGCCAGGTGACATTGGGGGTGACTTCTGCCCCAAATATGGGAGAAATTAACAAAGATTGCTGCCCATCTCCCAGGAATTTTTTTCTAGGAAGTCACATTGGTGAGAGCTAAAACAGCATTTTAGGTCATTATTTCTTTTCAAAACCACATTATTTTAATTGTAGACCTTGGTAAATTATTTTAAAATTAACATTGAAGAGATTGAATTTCTCTTAGGTGATTTCTTAGTTTCTGAGGGTATTTAACTGTGTATTTTCTATCTTTTATTCATTTTATTACTTCAACTGCTGATATAGATAATAACTCACAGCTTGGCACTGTGTAAATTGTAGTTGTCTCTATATTATGTTTATTGTAGCATTTTGAATGCTTTTTACCATTGCTATTTAATCAGTAACTGGTTCTCTACTTGTTTGTGCACTAACATATATTTTTATTGACTTACTGATTGCAAAAGAAAAAGCAGAAATAAGATTTTTTTTTCCCCATTAACTACTTTGGACAGGTTACATAATATATTACAGCACGGATGTGAATGCAGAGATACACGATTGGGTTATTGAGCCTGTTGTGGGCAACAGGTTGACTCACCAAATACAAGAGCTAACACTTGACACACCATACTATTTCAAAATCCAGGCTCGGAACTCAAAGGGTATGGGACCCATGTCTGAAGCTGTTCAGTTCAGAACACCTAAAGGTAAATCTCCGCACGAATTTGTTTTTTTTTAATTTTTTTATTGATTAAGGTATCACATATTTGTCCTCATCCCCCCATTTCCATCCCAAACCCATCTCCATGCATGCCCCCATCCCCTGTTGTCTGTGACCACTGGTTAGACTCATATGCATGCATACAGTCCTTTGGTTGATTTCTCTCCCTTATCTCCACCCTCCCCTACCTTCCCTGAGGTCCAACATTTTCTAAATGTAATTTACTTACAGGATATTTTTCCTTACATGATATTCTTCTCTCCACCCCCCCCCCCTTTTTTTTTTAGGAGGCTTTGGAAATTTTTATAATGTAGTCTTGATAGTTTTTAAATTTTAATTTTTTGCATTAAAATATGACTGCTTTAGGTTCATCACATGTTACACAATTTTACCATGAGATGAACTACTAATAAGAATTTTAGATAACATTTTAGAAACAGCTTTTTGTCCAGTATACTTAATTTTTCTAGAATATTCGCTTATTTCAATTAGCCAATTTCAATTAGCCTGAAAACTTGACTGCTATGTTACTGTCAAATTTAATATTCTAACAACAATCTTATTTTAACCTGTAAATATTAGTGGAAAGGATTATTTGCCTTCTTGAGTAGGCCCTGAGCATTCCTGGTGTTAGGCTAGATTTAGATATCAAAACCCCCACATCATGGGTACAAGACAACTCCAAAATGTTTTATAATGTGTCTCTTTAGTGGGACTGCGCTTGCACATGTCACTTTAGCATGTACAGACTATGGATGATATAAGCAGTCTTTATGATGAGCCACAATGTATGTATTTATCTCAGACTGATCCCTCACTCACCACTGACGACCAGAGGGGTGCTCTCTAGATCACTTGCCTGACCAGATCACACAGAAGGGAACTCTGACTCCAGTCTATTCAAGGCAGTGATATAGAGCTCTTTACAGTCAGATCACGTATGATTCTCTTTTCCTGAACAAAGCAATACCATGTTATTGTGATGGGTGATTCTCTTTCAACACAAGCAGGCTCCCAATCAGAAAGGCTTAATGTAGACCTTTGTAGGGAGAAAGGAGACCCTTGAAAGAAATTCTAGATAAGAAAGTGAAGATGAAGTATTGAACCAAGTAGTTTAGGAATAAATTTTAGTCAGGAACTGAGTCTCTGGAAATATAAAATATGGTTTCTCTACTTATAAAAAAACAAAACACTCTTGTTTGGAAGTTTGTGGGATTTCTTTTCCCTTTAAAAATTTTGCCTATCCCATCTTCAAAGCTTGTGATTCTTGCTCTTGTTTTTTCTTCCCCTGTGCTTGGCCTGTTAGCGGACTCCTCTGATAAAATGCCTAATGATCAAGGTAAATGGGTAGATGGCCTCTCTTTCCTTTCCTCTCTTTTGTGACCTATTAATAGCTTCTTTTTTTTTCCCCCTTAAAAATCAGTACCATGTGTTAATTGGCCAAAGTGGAGTTGAGTCCATGATTGAGGCACTTGGGGTATCTGAAAAGCTGGGAGCTAAAATAGCCTGGTATGGGGGGAAATTCCGAGTCAAAAACTGAGTTCTGCAGCTGTAGGAGATTAGCCTTAAGTGTGGGTCCGGTTAGCACAAAGATATTGAAATTTTGTAATAATTCAACGAGGATCAGAGCAAGAATACCAATTTGTAGCAATTAGGATTTTATTTGTATCTCTAAAAGAAAAGTTGTCATCAAATTCAGTGAATACCCTATTTTCCTCCTCCCATAAAGTATAAATTTACCCTACTGAACTATGATTATCCGTGGCAAAATTCGTGCTATTTATTCTCTTACCATAAGCTTGATTAAGAACTCCTTTTCCATTTCTTCCCTTAAATATACCTGCTTACCTTAAAAGATGATATAAACAATTTTAAATGGAAACTTAGGAAGCATGAGCCACATTGTCACCATTCTTGAAATTATATGTCAGCAGGGTCTTTTCACCATAGTTACTGTAGTGGAGATAACTCCTCTATCTGTGCTTTGTGATTTTCGTCTCTGCAAATTCAGCTAAAGTTGGTGTCTGTTTTCTATACTAAGAAAGAATAATAAAAGTAAATTTTATGATTGCTTTCATGGTTAATAGTTATTAGAAATACAGTCTTTGGATCTTGGTTAATGTCAAGGAACAGTCAGAACTTGAGGTTTCCAGTTTCAGGGCTTTGGAAATATGTTTGCATTCTATGAGTCTTTTGTTCTACTTTGTAGAAACTGCAAGCATGCTTTTATCTGGGGGTGGGGTAGGGAGGCATCCTAATCATGGTAGAAACTTTGACTTAAGTGTGAGAAAAGAAAAAATAACCATCCTGTAAATGCACAAAATATAAATGTGCTTGTTCTTTTCTGGCTTCACTCCGTAAGTGCTGCGCCACACCTCTGGTATATAAAATTCTTTGCCCATGTTTACTTTGGTATTTGGTTAATCCTTAGAATTTCTTGTTCATAGGTTAAATTTAAAAAAAAAAAAAAAAAAAAGTTGGGATTTGTAGAAATTAAACCATCCAGCTTATTGGCAAAGTTTGTTCTTCAGTATTTTGTTACGTAATATGATACTCTGGATGGTTTAGCTTAAATGTGGGCTACCTTACAAATAAGGACACTTAAACCTGAAGACCCTTTCTAGGTCATTCCACCAAGTAGACTTAATCATAGTGAAAGGAATGGCTGAAATTTTGATGTGTAGTATGTACCATTTGAGAGGAATGATGGCCACAGAAGTAACAGCATAGAATTACAAATATGGGCAATTGTAAAGAGACAGTGAGTTAACTTGTAGAATATGCCCTTTTGGATACCCAAGAATTTCTGTTACCTTTTGGGGTTTTGAACTTTAAGAAACAGAGAAAACATTGTGGAGTTTTTTTGTTTGTTTGTTTGTTTGTTTGTTTGTTTGTTGTGTGTGTGTGTTGTGTGTGTGTTTGTTTTTTTGGGGTTTTTTGTTTTGGTTTTTGCCTCTAGATGTACTCTGTTAAATGAACTATGCACAAAAACCTTCACATTTTAATTTCTTTCATTTCCTCCAAGCCTGATAACTTATAGAAGTACTTGACTTTAACTCTAATGTTTTACAGAAACACATCTAGTTTATGAATTTTTTGCCAATCTTAATTTATACAGATTATTCCTTTATAAGTTTTTTCTGAAGCGTCATCCTTTTTGCTTCTGGAAAGAGTAAGATTATATTCTTCCCTAACGATTTATGATGCTTGTAATAATAATAGTTAATATTTATTGTACATTTACTACATGTCAGGCAGCACTGATATTTGTTTTCTCAGCATCACTGTGTTCCCTCATGCTGGATTAGGAGACACTGTCCTTTGTGAACAACAAGAGCAAAGACTTTGTTTTTCCATCTTTGTATATTTAGTTCACTGAGCAGTAACTGAGACCCCAATATGAATCTCCATTTGCCTTCCTGCTCCTGCTTAGGGCGAGGCAACTTTATAATTTGAGAAAAGAATCCAATCCCTACTAGGCTAGATCAGCATAGGCAGGCCCTTCTAAGAGTCTAGTTCTTTATTGCAGAAGCTAATCAAACTGGTCTTCTTGGTCCTTTTCCAAGAGAAGTTTATTTAGCATCAGTACTCTAAGGCATCTTTCAGAAACGGTTTCCTGGACTGGAGAAGTGGGGTATGTTCCCAACTTGTGAACAGCGAGTGGCAGTCTAGTTACACACTAGATATAGCCATGGAAAGGGTGTCAGCCTTTCAGATGCCTCATTGCATAGAAAGCTAGACCTTAGTTTGCTTTGCACAAATAGACTATTTTCCCCAATTGTTCATTGCTACTTCATTTTCTCATGAACAAAACAGACTGAAAATAGTTTTTATATAGAAAATGCTTGTTAGCTGTGAAGTGGGATTTTAACACCTGTGGGCTGGGTCACTACTGACATTTTTTTTTTTTCTCCTTCAGCCTCAGGGTCTGCAGGAAAAGGAAGCCGGCTGCCAGACTTAGGATCTGACTACAAAACTCCCATGAGCGGTAAAGCCTCTCCTGTGGCTCTGTGGCCTACTATGGGCATGACGCAATTCTGCTTGACATCTTTAAATGGCCTGTGTCGCTTGTGTGTGGTGATTGTAGCATGTTACCTATTTCCTTTTATTTAACAGAGTTAGCTTCAGGCACTTATCTGGCAAATATTTGCTAAATTACTGCAAACCCACTCATTATAGGGTTTCTCTACATATCCAGCTTAATATGAGGCTAACTCTGAACAAATCTTCCTTTTGCCTACTGCCTCTAGAGAAACATTTGAATTTTGTTTTCAAAAATAAACTTTAGTGGAATTAGCCATCACCCAAGCCAAAGGAATTCCTCTGAATCATTCATTTCTCCCCAAACTACTTACTATAGTGTTTTTAGTTTGAGAATTCTAAAAAAGTCTTCCTACTCTCCTAGTCATCCGAAGAGCTGGTGCCTTCTAACTACTTAATGATAGAACCTATTCTTCTACAGAACTTCACCGTTTGTAAGTTACTTTCAGACATAAAATCATTTTCAAGCAGGACAAGCAGGTGTCATAGGTATCATTCCCATTTTAAACATCAAGAGACTCAATGGAGAAGTAATCTACCTGAATCCACCCACTAATTATGGAAGTCCAAGAACCACAACCCAGGTCTTCTGACTTCTCATTGTGCTTACCACATGCAGTTTAAAAAGCACAGATGTGGGAATCTGCTATTGGTGAAAATCTATACATGTAGCTGCTGGAAACAAGCCTTATTGTCTCCTCAACCCTGCCAGAAAAACAGGGAAAACAAAAGCCTGTCCCCTGGAAGTTCCTACTCTGACTGTGGAAATAAAATGATCTCTAGCTATCCATTTAAATAAAATATGATACTGCCCTGCCCTGGCAGGGTGGCTCAGTTGTTAGAGCATTATCCCATACACCAAAAGGTTGCAGGTTCAATTCTCACTTAAGGCACATATCTATTTTTTTTTTTTTTTAAATATATTTTATTGATTTTATACAGAGAGGAAGGGAGAGAGATAGAGAGTTAGAAACATCGATGAGAGAGAGTCATCGATCAGCTGCCTCTTGCACACCCCCTACTGGGGATATGCCCGCAACCAAGGTACATGCCCTTGACCGGAATCGAACCCGGGACCCTTCAGTCCCCAAGCCGACGCTCTATCCATTGAGCCAAACCGGTCCTGGCTAAGGCACATATCTAGGTTGTGGGTTTGATCCTATTAGGGTGCATACGGTAGCAACTAATCAATGTTTCTTTTATCGATGTTTCTCTCTCTTTCCCTCTCCTTCTTTCTCCTTCCCATCTTCCCTCCCTCCCTCTCTATCCCTCCCCCTTTCTCTCTAAAATCAATAGATATATCCTTGGATAGGGATTTTTTTTTTTTAAGGTGCTGCCCAGATTTCAGTGAAATGAGCTATTAAGAGAACCAGACAAACTTGCATGCTTTAAGAAATTCTTAGTCTCTGAGTTCTAAGACTTTGTGAGTTTTTTCTCTTGGGATGTATTTGTTACATTTATGTGCTCTCCACAAAATATTATTCAAGGTTGTGAAAAAAAGTAGTTATTCTTTGTTTTTTCTTTCATTTATGCATTCATTCATTCACACATTTTTTTAAAGGTTCAGGTTCTATATAATAGGCTATGGGAGCAAAAGGAGTGAGTAACAAACTACCTAATAGAGAAAAGGGAAGCTTTGTAGAAAAAGTGATATCTGACCCAGATTTTAAAGGATACATAGGAGGTTGCTAAATGGTAAAGGACGGGGGAAGGGGGTTAACCATTACAGGAATCAAAAGCAGCATGTTCTGCAAAGACCTGGCAATATAAAACAACCTGCTCTTCCCCAGGATCACACTATAAAGAGGCAGGATAAGATTTTCCGGTTAGAGAAGGTTAGTTAGAGCCAGTCAGCTTGTCAAAAGCTTAGATGCCAATGCTGATAAGTGTGAGCTTCATCCTATAAATAACATATGTAAGATGTCCGATACTGGTAAACTATCTATTTATTGAGTATCTACTATTTATTGAGTATCTACTATTAGTAGACAGTGAAGAATTAGTTAGGGGTAAGAGCATAAACTCAGAAAAGATGGTTAGAAAACTGTTGCAATAATTTAGGTAAAGCTTAAAAAATGGCCTGTCATAACATTCCTGGTAAAAAGGTTGATGCTCCCTTTTGGGAGCTCACTCTTACTCTGTCTTAGAAGGGAGATTTTGGTCAGCTCAAAGTTAGAGATCAAATAAAGTCAAATGAGAATCCATCTCTGTTGAATACAGAGAAGAACTACCTCCACCTCTGCTTTCCTCCGACCCCCTCAGAACTCCCCAGCCTCTTCTTTTAGTGCCTGCCTGTTAATAAAAGGTTCATGTAAAATCCCAAATAAGGTCTAATTTATTGACCCCTACCTAGTTCTATAGTCTTCCACAAATATAAAAAAAAAAATTATTTTATTAAAGGTCAGTGTATACAATTTGAGTTGTCTGTCTGCTAACCTTTTTCTCAGAAATGAAGGATAAAAATGATTGAGCTACATGTAAAAGAATAAGCCCTTAACCTCTCCTAAATCAGCCCAGATTTTACATGCTTAAATGTAGCCTATAACATCATAGAATCAAAACTTAGAAGGTCAGTTAACCTAATGCTATGGAAGGAATTCCCACAGTAAATATAGTTTGGATTAGCTCATAAGTTTATAAACCTGGTTGTATATGAAAATCTCTTTGAGATCTTTTTCTAGAAATAGCTTTCCAGGCCATACCTTCATGGTAGGAATTTATCCCACAATACCCCAGCCTAGTAGAATGACTGTAAGTACTTCCATTGACTAAACACTCCTCACTTGGCAAAGCAGCTCATCCCTCTCTTGTACAACTCTGATTTTTAGAAAGATAAGAGAGAAACTAGAAGGAAAGACATCAAATATCCATGGTGGTTAGATCTGTATGGAATGATTACCCATATTTTATAACATGAGCATGCATAATTTTTATAATGAGGTGGGAAGCCAGGAAATGGTTTAGAAAATGGAAAATAACTTAGAAAAAAAGCTGGGTTACAGAAGGCCTTGAAAAAAGCTGAGAACTCATCCTATAAGCAAAGCAACGAAAACAATAATTGTTATTATGATCATCCTATCTAATAGAGTAATATGCAAATTAACCATCACTCTGCCACAAAATGGTGGCCCCCATAGCCACAAGATGGCAGCGCCCAGTTTCCTCAGCCCCATTGCTGGAGTGTCCAGCCTGTCCGCAGGAGTAGCAAAACTGGATCTGCCTCCAGAGGGGACAGATCCGGTCTACCAGCTCCATCACTGCTGCAGGGGTTGGGGGAGACCAAGCGGTGAGGCTTGATCTGCCCCATACATGGCAGACAGAGCCTCAATAGCAGGGCATGAAGACTTCCTTAGCACAGCGGCAGCAAGGAAGCCCCATGCCCAGCAGATAGAGCCAGGACAGTAGAACTTAGTGCAGCTGCAGCAGGGAAGCCCCAGGCCCAGCAAACAGAGCCCGGACAGCAGGGCTTGGGAGCTTTCTTAGTGCTGCAGTGGCGGGGAAGTTCCCAGACATGGCAGACAGAGCCCATACAGCAGGGCTTGGAGGCTTCCTTAGCAAGGTGGTGGCGGAAACACCCCCAGGCCCCACAGACAGAGCCAGGACAACAGGGAATGGGGACTTCTTAGTGTGTCAAGTGTCGGCAAAGCCTGGCAGACAGAGCATACTGCAGGGCATTGGGGCTTCCTTCGCATGTCGCATGGTGGAGGCAGACAGAGAATGGAGAGAAAGGCATGGGGGCTTCATATCCATGTCTGCAGTGAAATCTCCAGGCCCGCAGAGAGCAGAGAACCACGGGGAGTGGGCCTAAGCCATCAGTAGGACATTCCCTGAGAGTTCCTGGATTGTAGAGGGTGCAAGTTGGGCTGAGGGACCACCAGGCATGAATTTAGTGCACCAGGCCTCTAGTTGTTATATAATGAAAGAGTGAGAAAAATCTAAATTTCTTCAAGGTTCTACATAGGCCTCTATATACCTCTTCAGCCTCATACTTTTTTTTTTTTTTTTCACTTCCTTTTCTCTAACTTTGCATATCTCTCTTTGCTTAAGGAAAGAGAAATTTCTCTTCCTTTTTCATGCCAAGGTCATTCCTGCCTTAGGATCCTTCCATTAGACTGTTCCCTCTCTATGGAATGTTGTTCATCCAAGTCTTTATATGGTGGGATCTTACATTTTATTTAAATCCTAGCTCAAATGCCATCTTCTCAGAGAAGTTTTTTCCAACCACTCAATATAAAATAGCCACCCAATAACTGTGTTATACCCCCCATTTGATTTTTTTTTTCATAGCACTCACTATTCATAATTTGTGACTTACTGTTTGGCTCCATCCCAACAATCACATTTCTGTTGCTCACCTTTGCATCTCATCCGTAGTACATAGAACAATGCCTGGCACAAAGCAAGCACTCATTAAATATTTGTCAAATTAGTGCATACATGCAGACCTACGTTTTCCTGAAATGGAGTAAGAGACTAACTCTGCATAAACGGTATTTATAAAAAGAGATACTTTAATTTTCAATTATTTTTTTTGTGATCTTAGGTAAAAAAAAAAAAAAAAAAAAACTTTAGCTTTCTATGAATGTACATTTTTAAAGTAGTTTTGAAAGTCAGAAAACAATGATTTATAAATGGTGCTTTATAAGATGAATTTATGTATAACATAAGATACAGGACAGACCCTTTATTTGTCAAAGTATAATGTTCATATAATTTCAAAGTATAAAGTTCATAAATGTTCATATAATGTTCATATAATTTCTTCTTGAACAGCTTTGTGCAAGGCATTGTGCTAAGAAATTTCATAGGGTAAAAAAAGCAGCTTCTGGATTTCATAATATAGAGGAGCTAGCCATGTTCATGGGACACTTTTACATAAGGTGCAATGGTGAGCATTAGAAAGAAGTTCACAGTATCTCTACTCACATGAAGGTTCTATAGCCTGATTGTATGCATTTCTAGAATCCTTTAATACTAATATGCCGTTTTTCTCTCTCCAGGCAATAACAGCCCCCATGGAAGCCCCACCTCTCCTCTGGACAGTAATATGCTACTGGTCATCATCATCTCTGTTGGGGTCATCACCATCGTGGTGGTTGTGATCATTGCTATTTTTTGCACCAAGCGCACCACCTCTCACCAGAAAAAGTAAGAAGCCCCAAATGTAGCCCATAGATGTTTGGTTCTATTCTTTTGCATCTATGTGATTTCTGTATTTGGAGTTACACAGAGAATAAAAACCTAAAATACTTGAAAAGTGATATTATAAATATTTGTAAACACAGACTGGCTCCTCTCATAAATGTGTATTGTCAGGATCTTGGCAGAAAAGAAGTAGCGCACTCAAAAGGGGTGAACAAGAATATAATGAAGGAGTCATTTACAAAGTTCTAAGTAGGGTTAGGGAAACTGGGCAGCAGTGTTCAAGGGTCAGCAGCAGTGAGTGACTGCCACCTTAGGTGGTGACAATGACTGTCTCAGACATGAAAGGATAAGAGTTCTTTTTGAGGAAGAGCAAGCTGTTTTCAGAGTCTTGAAGTGGTGGGAGAAGGTTTTTGACAGGAGCTGTGTGTGCTGGTGAAAATGGAGACATTGACAACCTTTAGCCCAACAGGGATGGGGCAGGAGAAAAAATCACCTCTGACCCTTGCCTGTCTTGCCTGTGCCTTCTACTGGACAAACCCAACTGGACACAAGGGTCAGGATTGCCAAGTAGATATAGTTCATGCCACTCAACCTCTTGAGTCACAGAGCCAAGTAGAGAGATCAAGAGAGGAAAGTGGACAGTCCAGCCTTGCTGGGAGCCCTACTGAAGTATGTCTTATATGCACACAGTGAGCTAGACACACAGGAGTCTCTGCACATTCTTATGGGTTATTTTACAACAGAAATACCAACTGAGATGGAAGAAAACCATGGGCCTCTTATTCTAAATCTAAGTTCATCCTACGTGTAGAAGTTGAGGTTGGTACCAGAGTAGGGGGCTGACTTAATCGATAAGAAAGGATCAGTTATAATCACCATATCACATTCCCAGAGAGGTCAGGTGGCTGCTAGTTCTGTACTCTGCTGGGATTGTGAGCTTGTGGCTAACTGTGTAGAGCAAATAACATGGTTATTCAGTAGTGCTTAATAACAGCCTGTACTTCTGAACTTGAGAGAATTCTTGACCCTAAATCACATTCAACTAATAAAAACATAGATTCCTGAGTTACCCCAATAGCAAAAACTGTGTGAGTAATAAAATAAATGACTTTAGTTGCAGTATCCTAAAAGATTATAAGATTAAGGTGTTGCTCCTAAATACACACACACAAATTCATGTCTGTGGGATTATCCATCAGACTTTGTCTGCCCAAGGCCAGGATGCATGTATTTAATAATGATGCATTTGTTGTCAACACACAGGACAAGTATAGCTACCCTGTAACTGCTGATGGTCATGTAGGTCATCTTTTGTAGGCTGTCTGATATTTTTAATCTGCTTTTGCCCCAGTAAAATAGCTGTCTGTAGCTTGCATTGCATCACTTTCACAATCCTTTTATAAGCCTCCTGATCATTGATTCTTTCAGCTCTCCCTATACTTTTGTTTTTTGTTTGTTTGTTTTTACTTTATAAATTATTTTTTTAATTTTTTTATAATAAATCTTTATAGTTCAGATTATTACAAGTGTTACTCTTCCTCCCCCTTTTCCCCCCACATAGCTCCCCTCCACCTGATTCCCAACCCAACATGCCCTTACCCCTGCCACTGTCATCATCCATAGGTGTAAGAATTTTTATCCAAACTCTTCCCGCACTGCTCAGACTCCCTTCTCCCTGAGAATTGTTAGTCCAATCCCTTTCTATGTTCCTGATTTTATTATATTCACCAGTCCATTTTGTTCTTCAGATTTTTTATTCACTTGATTTTTGGAGTCACTTGTTGGTAGGTATGTATTTGATATCTTTTTGTTGTTCATATTTTTTACCTTTACCTTTTTCTCCTTCTTCCTCTTCTTAAAGAATATCCTTCAACATTTCATGTAATTCTGGTTTGGTATTGATGAATTCCTTTAACTTTTTCTTGTCTGTGAAGCTCTTTATTAGACCTTCGATTCTGAGTGATATCTTTCCTGGGTAGAGTATTTTTGGCTGTAGGTTCTTGCTATTCATCATTTTGAATATTTCTTGCCACTCCCTCTGGCCTGCATAGTTTCTGTTGAGAAATCAGCTGACAGTCATATCGGTACTCCCTTGTAAGTAACTAGCTGTTTTTCTCTTGCTCCTTGTAAGATTCTCTCTTTGACTTTTGCCCTTGGAATTTTAATTATGATGTGTCTTGGTGTGGTCCTCTTTGGATTCCTCTTGTTTGGGGTTCTGGGTGCTTCCTGAACTTTTAAGTCTATTTCTTTCACCGGGTAGGAAAAGTTTTTAGTCATTATTTCTTCTAATAGGTTTTCAATGTTCTGTTCTCTCTCTTCTGGCACCCCAAAAATCCAAATGTTGATACGCTTTAAGCCATCCCGGTGGCTCCTTACACTATCCTCATACTTTTTGATTCTTCTTTCTTTCTGCCTCTCTGAGTGGGTGATTTTTGCTTCCTTATATTTCAGATCTTTGGTTTGATTCTTGGGGCACGTTGATCTATAGTTGAGTTTCTGTATTTGAATATATAAATCCTTCAGATTTGGGTCCACACAGATACTAGGGGGGTGAGGGAGGTCAATCCGGAGAAAAGGAGATAAATGTAATACTTTAAACAATAATGAATTAAGGAGAGAAACCAAGATGGCACCATCGCACAACAATTTCAAAAAATACAACTAAAATACAAAATGCACATTATCCAAAACTACAGGAATGTTGACTGACTGGAAAGGAAACTAGAAGGAAAGAGAAAATGAGAAAGAAAATCAGAGGAGCTATAAAAGCCTAAGGTACAAAAACAGGGTGTGTGCATGGGGAGAGGACTGAGCTGGAGAGGAGAGGGCGGCTGACATTCCCTAGTGGGAAGTAGATAAAAGCTCCGGACTGTGCCCTGTTCTGGGCGAGACCCTGGGGTCCCAGGCTCATACAGAGGGAATCTAGGCTGTAAAGCAGAAATTCAGCGGAGCAGCGAAAGGCAGAGTCCCGGTGGTGCACACATTGCGCGCAGAGGACGAACTGTTGACTGTGCCACTGGATTGCCCTAGTGGGAAGGAAACAAAAACTCTGGGCTGCACTCAACCCCACTTCCAACTGCATTGAACCCCAGTTCCGGGCTCATTGGGCGAGAGACTAGACTGTATGGTAGCGGATGAAACTCGAGGACATCTTTCTCTCAGAGGTGCTTGCAGCAAGTACCGAAGGACACTGAGGAACACTGAAACTCAGGAATTTCATAGGGCGGGGCTAACAGGAAGCCAAGGCTGAAATTTTGCCCCATCCAAGCTGAGCACAGAGGCTTTTGCAATTTTCCAAGTCTAGTCAAATAGACACAGCATAGACACAGCATAGCACAGCCCCGGCATAGGCACAGCTGATCCTCACAGCCAATTGTCCAGGAGGTCAGTTCCTCTCAGTGATACCAACAACAATCTAGATTTAACTACAATAAGGCTGTACACACAGTCCACAAAGGGGTGCCCAAGAGTGTCCACCTCAAGTAACTGGGAGGCTGACCCACTGAACCATATAGGACACCTTAGCACACAAAGCCACCCTACCAACTCAGGAAGCTGTAAAAATGCCAAGACAAGGAAACAGATCACAAACAAAAGAAATGAAAGATAACAAGCGACTAGATATAGAGTTCAAAACCACGGTTATAAGGTTTTTCAAGAATTTACTAGAATAGGCCAATAAAATAAACGAGACCTATGAGGATATGAAAAGGGATCAACTAAAAATAAAGAATACGTTATCTGAAATAAAAAATATTATACAGAGTCCTAAAAACAGAATGGAAGATCGCAAGAATCAAGTCAAAGATTTGGAGCATAAAGAGCCAGACGACACTCCTCTGCAGAAGCAAGAAGACAAGAGAACCCAGAAAGTTGAAGATATTGTAAGAAACCTCTGGACAACTTCAAGCGAACCAACATCAGAATTATGGGGATCCCAGAAGAAGAGAGGGAGAGCAAGATACTGAAAACATATTGGAAGAAATAGTGACAGAAAACTTCTCCCACCTGGTGAAAGAATTAATTTAAATATATTTTATTGCTTTTTTTACAGAGAGGAAGGGAGAGAGATAGAGAGCTAGAAACACCAATGAGAGAGAAATATCGACCAGCTGCCTCCTGCACACCCCCTACCGGGGATGTGCCCACAACCAATGTACATGCCCTTGACCGGAATCGAACCTGGGACCTTTCAGTTCACAGACCGACGCTCTACCACTGAGCCAAACCAGTTTCGGCTGGTGAAAGAATTAGACTTACAAGTCTAGGAAGCACACAGAACCCCAAACAAAAGGAACCCAAAGAGGAACACACCAAAGCACATCATAATTAAAATTTCAAGAGCAAAAGACAAAGAGAGAATATTAAAAGCAGCAAGAGAAAAGCAGGTAGTTATCTATAAAGGACCACCCATACGATTGTCAGCTGATTTCTCAACAGAAACCATGCAGGCCAGACGGGAATGGCAAGAAATATTCAAGGTGATGAATAGCAAGAACCTACAGCCAAAAATACTCTACCCAGGAAAGATATCACTCAGAATCGAAGGCCAGATAAAGAGCTTCACAAATAAAAAAAAAAAGCTAAAGGAGTCCATCACCGCCAAACCAGAATTATATGAATTGCTGAAGAGGGTTCTTTAGGAAGAGGAAGAAAATAAAGATAAAAATTATGAACAACAAATATGTAACTATGAACAAGTAAATCTAAAAACCAAGGGAATTAAAAAATCTGATGAACAGTATTAACTGTTGAATATAATAGAATCAGAGGTATGGAAGGGGAGTGGACTGACTATTCTCAGGGAAAAAGGGGAATGGGGGGTGAGGGAAGAGACAGAACATAAACTATGCATCTATGGATGAGGACAATGCGGGTGGGCAAAGGGCAGAGGGTAGAGTGGGAACCTGATGGGGGGTGGGGGGGGGAAATGAGGAACATTTGTAATAATATGAACAATAAAGATTTATTTAAAAAATAATAATAAACAATAATGAATTAAAAAGCAATTGTACCTAGTCTTCACAGGACATTTCCCCTCCTTCCCCAATGGCCTGCTTCCTAGTGCTGAAGGGACAGAACCATTAGAGTTAAGAGGTTAGCTGTGCTAGAGAATACCATTGACCATTGACAACTATGTGAGCTTTCTCATTGCTTTGCTCTTTAATACCTGAAGTACCTCCCCTTTCAATATTTTCTGTTTATGGACTCACTGATAGGACATTTAAGCTGAAGAGCATGGAGAGTGTAGCTCTCATTGTTTCTCAGCACGTTCCTCTATGGTCCCTCAATCTCAACAGAGAAGTACCTTGGCATACTACCATCACATCTAGAACCTTTCTGTGCCGGGCCAACTCATCCAAGGGTTTGGTAAGCTAAGAGGAGGGGGGGGGGGGGGTATAGGGGGTGTTGAGGAAAAGACAAAAGAGAATAATCTGGGGCTAGGTGGATCTCATGTGCCTGGCTGAGGCCACAGAGATCCAGAGTGCAAGCTGAGCTTTTATTTTATAGCCAGAGATAAACAAGGTAGTGGTCACCATAGTTACAATGTTCTTGTGAGTTTCACTTGTTTTGGCAGCACTTGCTGCACCTCTCACAGCCCATTAGCTACCCAAGAAGGATCTAGGGGGTGTCAAACTTGAATATGCTAAGACAGCTGTGCCCTCTAAGCTGGGACTTGTTTTGTGGCTTTACCAATATATCAGTCTGAGGCTTAACCCTATAGCCACTCTCTAAACCTTTCTATGTTGGAAATAATTATTTTCTCCCCTTTCCTAAGTGTCCTTCCTCCTGTCTGAACCCAGTTCTCCATTTATCCTTTAGTTTTAGTTTCTTCTATCTGTCTAAGACCTTGTACTTACTGTTGCTCTCTCTTCAACACAGCTAACCTCTAAATCTTTTGGCTCTGTCCCTTTAGCATTTAAGTGTGCTCCCACTATTACCATGTTAAGAAATAATTATAATTATAACTCTTCCTCTATAACATGGTGCTTACCACTCATTGCTTACAAATCCCTGTTTTTTCTTCCACCACAAAACTTCATGAATACTTATTTACACTTATCTGTTCTTTTACTGCCTAATCATGCTTTAATTTTTTTCTAATCTGAATTCTGCCCCTACAGCTTTACCAAAGTTGCCTCTTCTGCATTTGCTCTTGGATATCTCAGGCACTGGAAAATCCAAATCAGAATTTATAATTTTTTCTGTCAAACTTGTTTCTCCCCCGTTATTCTCAGTGTTAGTAGATGGTTTAAGCCTTTATTTCTCTTGCTTCTGTTCTGCTGCCCCACCTCACATCCATTTATTCACCAAGTCTTGTCATTTCTGGCTCCATTCCCACTGTCCTCAACCACTTATCAGTCGTGGCTGAGGTTATTGCAGCACATCCTAGCTGGTCTCTATTCTGTCTCCTCTCCTTAAATCCCTTCTTCACACCACAGTAGGTGTAAATTTTTAACTCAAAATTGATATGCTTACTCTCCTGTCTAAAACTATTTAGTGGTTTCTCATTAATTTGGGCATGCTGTAGAAGCCCATTAGGATATGACCTCTGACTGCCTTTCCAGCATCTCCATGGGTCACTGACCCCATCATTTGGTGTAGTCCTTATATGGTTATACTAGACTCTTGCTCTCCACTTCAGAGCTTGGACATATGCTGATTTTTGGAATGCAGCATCTGTCTTGCCCTGTTTGTGTCTTAGCTTAAATTTTACTTATTCTTCCTATCCACTTTATGTCCAACTATTAAGTGGTTACTGTAATGCTTGGCATTTCATTAAACTCAGAGCATTTTAACATAATCGTTCAATATCTGTCTTCCTCACTTGACCACAAGTATTAAGAGCACAACAGTCCTGCACAGGGTCTGACATACAGTGGGTCCCTAATAAATGCTTACAGAATGTGTGAGTGAGTGATGTAATAGGAGAAAAACTAAGGCACAAAGATGTAGACACTGTCATCTGCACTCTTGACTTTACCCAATTGTTAATCCTAGTTTGGATTAACTAAAATGTGTTCAAAGAAAACAAGCAAACTCATAGACAGAGACAACATAAAGATGGTTACCAGAGGGGGAGTCTGGTGGGAGAGAAATAAAAGGTTAAAAGGGGTCAAATATATGGTGATGGAAACACTGGACTTTGGGAGCACACAATAGAGTATACAGATGTTGTATTACAAAGATGTACACCTAAAACTTATATAATGTTATTAACCAATGTTACCCCAAAAGCTTAATTTGAAAAATAAGTAAAAATGTATACTAATAAATGGGTAATATGTAATTATGCCAGACATTTTCCAGACGTCCTTCCTGACAAAGGCGGGGCCGGGGAGAAGCCACCAGGAGTCCCTGGGACCTGTGGCCAGCCTAGGAGAAGTTTACTATTCTTATTTCTATTACTATCTATCCTTTAGGGATGTTTCCAGGTCTTGGTGGCGTGGCGGCAGCAGAGGCACAGTAAGGGGCATGTTTCAATTAAGGAAATTCCTAAATTGCCCTGTATTCACTCGTGGACAAAATTTCAAAGTCTAACTGACAGTAAGCTGCCAGCCCAGGGGTCCCCGGGGGCCTGTGGCTGGCCAGAGGGAGAAAATCCCAGTTCCAGAGAACCTGTAGGCAGCCAGAGGGAGGGAAGCACGAGTCCTAGGTGTGGAGGCCAAGGCAGAGGCGGTTAGTGGCGATCAGGCTGGCAGGCAGGCAGAAAGATTAGGGGTGATCAGGAAGGCAGGCAGGTGAGCTGTTAGGAGCCAGTGGTCCCGGATTGCAATGTCCAATTGGCAGTTTAGGATCTTGATCGGGCCTAAACTGACAGTTGGACATCCCCTACAGAATTCCGGATTGGAGAGGGTTCAGGCTGGCTGAGGGACTATCACCTCCCCCTTCCTGTGCACGAATTTTGTGCACTGGGCCTCTAGTATAGAATAAAGTAAAATGGTGTTCCTTCCTTTTTTATAAGTCCATAGATACTATTTTTTACTTCATTGTTATATTTTTGGTGAATCTTGTCCTTTTCTCTGTTGACTGGAGGAACCTTCTTCTTTAGAGATTATTTGATTTTAAAATGCTGTCTAATCTCTTGACACTAAAAAAAAAAAGTTACAAGACAATATTCAAATATGCCTTGTACATATATCCAAATACATGTTGACAAAGAGATCTGTTTACTGTTTCTAGAAGGAAACTGCTTGCCTCTGTTTTTCTTTTTGTGTGTTTTTAGTTCTGCCTTTCCTTGAAGCATCTCACAGAAGTGCCTTTTAATCATTTAAACCCTTTGACAAATATGTTTAAAAGAGTTACTTTTAAAAAAAAGTTTTTTTAATTTTGTGCCTAGGAAACGAGCTGCTTGTAAGTCAGTGAATGGCTCCCACAAGTATAAAGGGAATGCCAAAGATGTCAAACCCCCAGACCTCTGGATCCATCATGAGCGACTGGAGCTGAAACCAATTGATAAGTCTCCAGACCCAAACCCCATCATGACCGATACTCCAATTCCTCGTAACTCTCAAGATATCACACCAGTTGACAATTCCATGGACAACAACATCCATCAGAGGCGGAATTCGTACAGAGGTGCAGGTTTTCCCCAAATGTTGACAGGCTATTTTCATTTAAATAATTTACCATTTTATCAAGTTGCCTTAAAACTTGGTGATTCCTATACAGGTGAGATTTTTAAAAGTGTGTAATATGGATTTAGTCAACATCTGATGATGGATAGCTAGCAGTTGTGAGGGACAGGTTCTATACCAAAGGAGACACCTTCTAAATCTTTTAGGTCTCATTGGGCTTCACCAGCTTGATACTCAAGCATTTGAAACAACCTAGCCCATGTCTGTGCATTTCATTCTGTCCTTTCAGTCGGAGTCCAGCTGTCATTATGGTATCCAGAATGCTCTTGGTCTCTGCTCTTACAGACACCACAGTGAAGCATGGTAGGCAGCATTGTGTCAACTGTATTGACTCTTAAAAGGGACTCCTGTAATGCACTAGTGATCACTTTTCTCTTTATTTCACTTCCTGCAGAAACATCTTGCCCCCATTTTCTTGTTTGTGTATTCCCTACTAGATATGTTTTACTTCCCAAAGTGGCCTAGGGCACATGCTTATAACCACCCTTCATATTTGATGTCTAGGGCATGAATCAGAGGACAGCATGTCTACACTGGCTGGAAGGCGAGGAATGAGACCCAAAATGATGATGCCCTTTGACTCTCAGCCACCCCAACGTAAGTTAAAAGTGTCTCTTTCTCTAGTACTACCTGTCTAGTCTCATGTTGGGGAACAATTTTGAATGATCTTTTTGACTTCACTCAATCCTGACATAAAACCGCTTTGGCAACTTGAGGGAAGAAATATCAAAGAGTTGCCATATTTTACAATTAATATTATTGAGACTAGCTCCTTTAATTATAGGGGGAAAAACGCTAAAAAGCCAATTTCCTAGTGTCCCAGGAATAGGGAAGTAACCAATCTCCGAAAAATTACAGAGCTTGCCTGGCTGGTGTAGTTCAGTGGTTGAGCATCGACCCATGAATCAGAAGGTCGCACTTTGATTCCTGGTCAGGACCTATCCCCTAGTTGCTGGCTCAGTCTCCAGTAGGGGGTGTGTAGAAGGCAGTCCATCAATGATTTTTCTCTCATCATTGATGTTTCTGTGTCTCTCTCTCTCTTCCTTTCTCTGAAGTCAATAAAAACATAATTTTTTTAAAAGTACAGAGCATCTCTGCAGGAGAAATGGGGAAGCATATGCACATTCATGGTAAATAGGCACCTGTGCAATTTTTTTAAATTATTATACCTTGTATTTTAAAGGACGTTTGAGGTTAACAGTATGGAGAAGTGTTTGTTTTAATTCCTCACCTAGGACATGCATAGAGAGAAAGAAACATTGATGTGACAGAGAAACATTATCAGTTGCCTCCTACATGTGCCCAACTGGGGATCAAACCCACAACCCAGGCTTGTACCCTGACCAGTGCACAGGACCACACTCAATTAACTGAGTCACTCTGGCTGGACAACAGTATGGAGTTTGTAAAGCAATATTTTCAACCTTATTTGAACTATGCCTCACTTAGATAAGCTTAAAAGTTCCTCAACCTTCTATAATAAATATTTGAAATTCAAAATAAGTTAAATATCATGATTAAAAGCCAAAAAACAATGGGATAAATCAATGTTTATTCAAACTAAGCCTTTCAGACTAGCTGGCACAGTGGTGTTTTCAGTGGAGCCTCCTGAAAGCAACTGGAATAGATTTAATTATTCTTTTGGGACATTTGCATTTTTAAACCTGGGGCCTTGTTATAAAAGTGAAACCATGGTATGTCTGACTGCCAGTTTACATCCAACAGTTGGACATCCCTTGAGGGGTCCCAGATTGGAGAGTGTGCAGTCTGAGCTATGGGCACCCCCCCCCCCATCCCCCAGCCCTGTGCACGAATTTCCTGCACCCGGCCTCTAGTCCTAGAATAAAAAGCTACCTGCCTATCAGGATTAATCTTACAAACTATTTGATATATGGAAGTATTTGCTCTAACCTGAACAGTAGGCCAGTAAACATCAACACTGTCAGATACCTATATACAAATAATGAAAGCATCAAAAACTAAAAGATCACTTTTCATTTTTAACCCAAATGAGCTTTTGATTTTTAATTTATTTCTTAAAAGTTGTCTTATTTTAGAAATTTCAGCCATCTCTTTGTCAACAGTGTCAGAGATTTAAATAATCCCAGATACCATACATGCACAGGTGCACCATGGCACCCTGTACTTGGGAACTGGAGAATATGTGAATGTCTGTATGCACACTCTCTCTCTCTCTTACTCATTCACTATACACAAACACTAGGCTCTAGGTGCTAAAAACAAGCTTTGAGAGAGTAAAGGTCAGTTCACGAATAGGTCATTTCTGCACAATGTACTCTTTGCTTAGAGTCCATGATGAAAGAAGGACCTACACTTGGAAGTGTGCAGGGGAAAACCATGGTTTCCCTCTTAAAACAAGGCCCCAGGTTTAAAAATCCAAATGTCCCAAAAGAGTAATTGAGTCTATTCCAGTTGCTTTTGATTATAAGAAGATGGTAGCTTTACTGCTTATTTGTTTGTTTTGTATAAGACTTAGGTCTTATCAATTGGCTTATTTTTTAAATTTGTGAATTTTTACTATTCTTATTCATAGATTTGATATTTTTAAATACGTATAGGAGAAAAAATACGCTGTTCCAGTTGACATTCCTTTTTCTCCTTTTTTATTTTATTTTTTTGATGGAAAAGTATGCATAAATTTTAAATATTTAATTTGTGCCTCAAATAGTTGGATGGGTGAGTGGAATCGTTTAGAATCTGATGCCAGGTACCCAGAATACTTTGATTTTCAGGTTTTGAGATCCCCTTTTCCCTACACAGCTTCTGCTTTGGTGTCTGCACCCACCAGCCACCTGCTCTGGCTTTAAATGGCTGAGACTGCTAGGAAGGCCTTGCTCAGCAGCATTGGGTCCTTATTCAGCCAACAGATAATGATGGCTACCTCTTGTAGGCAGGTACTTTCAGTTACTTTGTCATTTACTTCATTTGGAAAGACTGGAAATGCCTTTAGAAAGAGAAGTTCAATTTTGATTTTCTATTCTGAGAGTCCTCTCCATCCAGAATATTTTCAAATAGCTAAATATCAGGAGGCTCATTCACCTCCTCCTAACCTTGATCTGGAAAACACTGATTCTGAAGCTTCCACTTGTGAATTGGTCTTTTCTCCCTTAGAGGAGATGCTGACTCTCAAACTGTCCTGCTTTTCCAAGTTGTGTTTTATTCCAAAGGACCATCTGAGCCTTCTGGTTTCTTAGGTATTGAGAGGGGCAGTGAGAATCCAGAGTCGCTGGTCAGTTGTGCCACCTGCTTGTTTGCAAGTGGCCAGGACAGGAGATAGCTGGAGAAGAAAGGCATCTGTTTTATTGACTGGGATTCCAGAGTAATGCTGAGTGGCCCCACAAAGATCTAGAGAGATCCTTGGTGACAAAAGACATTTCATAGACTCTAAAGGCTGTAATTGAGTTTATCACAAATTTTGTGAAGCCCTTGCTTAGGAAACAAAAGATCCCTGTGTTTCTAGTCACCCATACCTATTTGCCTGTTTGAGGGCTTTTGAGCTGGTTATCTTAATCTTAAAAATTGTTTCTACAACTATTCTAGGGAGTACCTAAGGGAAATTAGTTGCAAACTGAACTTCTGGTTTTGTTTATTTCCACCTCTGGGATTGGTAATCTAGTCTCATTAAGTAAGAACTTTGTCTTCATAGAATGTTGTATATGTTGTAGAATTTTAGATGCAGCAAATTGAATCCCTTAGCTGGTATAGGAAAGAAAAAGGCAATTAGGAAATATCCATGTATATTTTAAAATGTGAATGGATATGGCTGAGCTCTCAGGCTGGAATTTGTAAGAGGGTGTCCTAGACTGAGTACTGGGATGGACCATAAGAATCATTTCCATTCGCATTCCTTTTAAGATATGAAAACTGATTAAACAGTTATTCATTTATGTAGCTTAAATACCTATTGCAGGCTTTATTCAACGAGTAAGAAAAGGCAGTTAATTAAGCATATATGCAAAAGAGAAGGGCTTACATCTTTCTAGCATGAGAAAAAGTATAGAAACCTAAACCATCATTTCTTTGCTTATGGAATTACATTATGTGACATATTCAAATAGATGTTTTTAATACCATATATCCATGTTTATTGTAGAAGAATTAGAAATAAAAGCAATAGAAAAAAATTTTAATCCTGATCATTCTTCCCCACAAGATAATCACCATTACATTTTTTTTTATTGTCATTGTTAATCTTCACCTGAGAATATTTTTTTCATTGCTTTTTCAGAGAGAGTGGAAGGGGAGAAGAAGAGAGAGAATGAGAGTACAACATCGATGTGAGAGAAACACATCAATTGATTGCCTCCCCCACTTGCCCCAGCCAGGGGTGGGGAGTGAATCCACAACCCAAGTATATGCTCTTGAATGGGAATCAAACTCGCAACCCTTGGGTGTACAGGTTAACACACTAATCACTGAGCAATACAGGCCAGAGCTCACTATTGACATTTTATTATATATTCCTCAGACTTCTTTTTCTGCATGTAGATAGATAGACAGGCAGACAAATGTATGTACAGGAGTTTTGATTTTTTTTTTTTTAAAGTAAAATTCATGGCTAATTGTCCAGATGCAGCCACCAGAAAACCAAGGGAATGGTTGCACTGTATGGGAGGGGGAAGGGATGACTTTGCTCTTCAACTGTGATTTGTGTGTGTCTGTGGAAGCATGTTAAAAAAAGCATTTCTCTGTCTTGTGTTCATTCACAGCTATGATTAGTGCCCATCCCATCCATTCCCTCGATAACCCTCACCATCATTTCCACTCCAGCAGCCTCGCTTCTCCAGCTCGCAGTCATCTCTTCCACCCAAGCAGCCCATGGCCCATTGGCACATCCATGTCCCTTTCAGACAGGGCTAATTCCACAGGTGAGAGATGAGGACTGCATCCCAGGTGGAAAAATTTCCAAGAGTTGGCAAGTTGAAGTGGGGAAGGACTTGCCTGCTTAGAAGAATTTAGATTTTCTCAGTGCTATATATTTATTATAACATTTCTGTTCCTGGCTCAAATTTGTTTCTGTAAAATTGACTAAGCTTTTCTCGCAAAGTCTTAAGTGCTCATTGCAAATCATTTTAGTAAAAACACAATAACTCTAATTACATAATCATGTCTTCTTCCAACAACTTGTATTTTAATTGAGTTCTATTTTCAGTTAACTTTTTTTAACCCTCCAATTTGAAAGAAGACTCATTTTGTGGGATTTTCAGACATTGGAGGTCAACTTTGCCTCTCAGTCACCTTAATGTTGGGAGGTTTCATAGGACAGCCTTAGGTATTACTCAATAGTAGGTTTTACATGCTTCTGCCAGGGAGCAGAGTAAGAACAGCATCTGAGGGTGGCAAGGCCAGCAGCCTCATGGGGTTGGTGCATAACATAATCCTCAGGTTGCCTAGTGGATTACTGAAATGAGAAACGGCTTCAAATAGGAAATTAGCCTAACAGTCTACAGTGTGTTTAAAGAAATACATTGCCAGACAAATATTTCCCAGTTTGGAAACCTTAAGAAGCATTATCAAAACAGTTTTATGGAGGAAATAGTGAAAGTGAGGGTATAGTAAATGGAATAGATACAATTATTCATTATTAATTGAAAATTAATTTTCACCCTCTCAGTTTTAAGGTACAAATCTAGTAATGGCTCATATATGAATCATAATCTTCCTATCATTCATCTATTAATAGTAAAGTTATTAGTAGAACTAAGTGTTGGTGGTTCTGGAAAATGAGAATTTCAAGTGAATTCCATTTTAAGAGAACCTCAAAACTTCATGCTAGAAGTTAGTTTTGCCAGTAGCATCCCCTCTCCTTTATATTTTGATCTATTATAATCATACCAAAAATATCAAATGAAGACCAAGGCTTTATTAATGGATGTCCAGTAACCCCAAAAGTTATCTTCTCCCAAACCTTTTCTTGGCTTGGAAAGTGCTGCTAGAACTCATGTCTAAAATTGGCCTTCCTACTAACTCCCCCAAATCTGAGTTTGGTATTCTGCCTTGAGGGAAAGACAGTGCACTGGAGGCTGTATGGAGAACTGAAGTCTGCCTTATAGAGGTGGTATCTGATACAACAGCATCCAGAAAGCCACCCTCTAAACCTGCTCTTGGAAAGCCATTTTGTATCCTGACCCTGTTAAGGCAGATGAATCTCACCCACTAGGCTGTGTGTGGTGCAGGTGGGAAGAGGTTGGCCAGAAGCCTGGCAGCTCCTACCCAGCCCTCATCCTAGTGGTGGTTCAGATGATGGAAGTTCCATTCTGATAGACTTAGGCAGAACTGAAGAGAGAAAAAGTAATGATTTGCTTTATAAAGGGTTTTTTTCAGTGGCCAGAGGGGATAAATGGAGGTAATACTAGTGGTAGAGTCACTGAAGATGTAAAGCAAGCATGTCACACTCGCTGCCCACAGGCCACATCAGCCCACAATGAATATTTTTGCAGCCCAGCCAATATAATGGCATGTAAGAAACATTTTAATAAAAATTTCATAACTTAATTTTTACAATATCCTGCTATACATAATTATTAATAACAAACTATAACATTCGCTAATTACTGATTACTATAATTGTGTTGCTTCATTTCCCTCCACTAATATTAGCCGCGAATATTTTAGTAGCCAATTGCCATTGTCATTAGTTTTGACTGATTTGTTTGGTGTGCCCAACAGGAAATATTTTCTTTTCAGAGAACAAGAAAAATAGGTTTATTTGCATTATGCTTATTTGTGCAGTTATTCAGTGTCTGGTAAGTTAATGTTCAAGAAAAAATACTAATTTTTATTAAAATGTTCTTTTATTTATGTTAATGATGACTCATTTATTTCAGCCTTTTATGTTCAAGATGACTCATTTATTTCAGCCTTTTATGTTCAACATGTCTCTATCAAAATAAATATATGTTTCTATGAAAATTGGAGCTTTTGTTTTTTGGCAGCCTACATAAATTTAAACCTTGTTTATATGACCCGTGTTAGCCTTTGAGTTTGACATGCTTGTTGTAGAACAAGTATCTAGAAGTGATCAAATTCTCTTACTGCTGTGCTTTCCTGAGCTCTGGAGCTCAGTACTGCCCCACCGCCAGCCCTGTGTGTGTGGGCTCGGCATTACTAGACTCTGGCCAGGGCAGTCCTCCCACTAGTGAGCACTTGCTGTGTCTTGTCCTGGAACATTTATTATGTCACCACCACTTGACGTAGGAAGAGCACTTTCCACTTGTCCAAGTCAATGGGCAGTGTTAATTTTTTGTGTCTTAAACAACTCTGAAGTTGGCCCCTTGCCAGCAGGAACTTGTGTTATAGCATAGTGACTTAAAATACCTGCCAGTGCAGGCTGACATGGTCCTGGCTGAAGCCTGCTCCCTCTCCAAGTCCCTGCTCCCACCCTCACCCGCTCCCTCCAGGCCCAGGTCACACTTAGCAAGCAGATCAGCAACTCCCAGCTGTGGGAGTGGCTGGCTTAAGCAAGCACAAAAATTAAAATCCTCAGCCTGATAAGGTTGTAATGGCCAGGCTTTCAGCACTTGAGGAGGATGCTGAGTCCTTCATCCTTGGGACCCAAGACCTTTAAGCTAAAGGGTAGCACTCATAACTGGAATGGCCTGTCTCCTAAGAGCCCAAGGGAACAAAATCATTGCTCCCTTAGCAATAACATCAAGGAAATAGGTTGGATTCTACAGGTTGCTCATATATTGCTGCTTAAAAGGATTACTTTCTTTTTTAAGGATGAGAACTCTAGGAGTCAGGGAAGGACCTCCTTCAGGCTGCCTGATACAGCCTTGTCCAGAGCTGGTGTCCTCCAGGCCCCTCCCCAGGGTACGAATGGTGGTTTGCACCAGCTCCCATTGTTCTCATATGGTTTCTCTGGGTTTGGTGCTGCTGCCACTCCTGCAGAGTCAGGGCATGATGGCATTGGACAGTAGTGTGTGGTGGGTTGAAAGGTGAGCTTGGGAGTCCAGCCAGGGATTCAGATTCCTTCTTTACCTGTTCTCACTCTGTCCTAGGGCAAGGCCTAATATCCCAGTGCCTTCTGAGTTACTCTGAGGATTGAATGAGCTAATTGAATGAAAAGTGTTTAGCACTTTTCATAAGGCTTCTCAATCTCCAGTGAATCTTGCATTATTCTTCTTGTTTTATAGGTGAAGAAACTGAGACTCAGATTCGGTGACTGCCAAGTTTACCCAGCTAGTATGTCAAGATTATAGAGTCCAGGTCTATCTGATCCAAAGCCAGTGCTTTTTTCACCCCACCACGCAGCCTCCCTGAACAATTACCCTTTTTCACATATTTTGAGATTGTTACCATGTTTTTCCCATGTCTTCCCTTTTTCCAGGCTGACCGGACCCTATTTCTTTCTCTCGCCCCATCGCCCAAATATGCATAATCTTAAAGCTCTGTGTAGACCTCTATACCAGTTGATTGTCCAGGTCTCATTTGAGCTGTAGGGCTATTGCTCTGGTGAGGCTGTGCATAGTCCACTTAGGACAGGCAGGGCGTGTGGCATTGCCTCTTCTACAGTAACCACCAGGCCTTGCAGGCAGAATTGTTACTTGTCCAGTACTCAGCTAGCCTTGGTGACTAAACATATTATCTATGAAAGTCACTGAGACTATCAATCAATGAAACTAAGTTTTCTTTTATAATTATTTATGACTAAATAGCTAGTATTCTCATGAACCTTTTTTAAAATACATTTTTATTGGTGAGAGAGAGGGGGGGGGGGAAAGAGAAACATCAATGATGAGAAAGAGAGACTTCAGTCGACTGCCTCCTGCACACTCCCTATTAGGGATCAAGCCTGTAACTCAGGAATCGAACCATGACCTTCTGGTTCATGGGTCAACGCTCCATGGGTCAACTCTCTGTCATTGAGCCATACTGACAGGGCTCACAAACTTTTTTATGTGCTCCATAGTAAGTACCCAACAGAACTTTAAATATCTAAAATTATGACCACTTAGCTATGTAGCTGAAAAAGTTTCAGTAACTGGTTGACAAAATTGTTTGTGATTCGCTTAGATTAGTCCATTCTTCTTTAGCCTTGGCAGAGGTGCTTATCCAGGGACCTCGTTGCTTACTAAGGGGCCCGTAGAAACAGCCAGAACTTAGGGATGTATATATGTTTAATGGATTTTTAAAATGCTAATATCTAAACTTTCCTGCTATAGAATCCATTCGAAATACCCCCAGCACTGACACCATGCCAGCCTCCTCATCTCAGACATGCTGTACTGATCACCAGGATCCTGAAGGTGCTACAAGCTCCTCTTACTTGGCCAGCTCCCAAGAGGAAGATTCAGGCCAAAGTCTTCCTACCGCACATGTTCGCCCTTCCCACCCATTGAAGAGCTTTGCTGTGCCATCCATCCCACCTCCGGGCCCACCCACCTATGATCCCACACTGCCAAGCACACCATTACTGTCCCAGCAAGGTGAGTGAAGACAACAGCATTGGAGGGACCCTTCAGCTCTGGCTTATGACAAAAAATCACCTCTTTAAAGAATAATAAAGCAAGTACCCTTCAAGTTTCTCCCAGCAGTTTGGAATAGCAGGCTGTCACCACCCCTCTCAGGGAGAATGTGCGCTTTCTCCTGTGGGAACAGGAGACCAATTGGCTGGGGAGTGAAGGCTGACTTTTTATAGGTTGCTTTGGGTGCAGGATCCTTGGTGGTCATACCCAGTGGCATGGCTGTGAGCAGCAGATAATCCTCTGCTCAGCCCCCCAGAATTGACTCTCTCCACAGGGTCCCTACAAGCCAGAGGAGGAGCAAGGAGGCCAATACTTGGAAATAAGGAGGAACCTTAGGAAATGAATTCCCTGAGTCTCCATAGCCAACTCAAAGTCCTCTGACCTCAAAGGCATGCCTTTCCCCTACTCTTCCACATTATTATCTATTGCAATGGTTTGTTTCAGAATAAGTCAGTGGTTCCCAAGCTTTTTGGTCTTTTTTTTAAATAAGTCTTTATTGTTCAGATTATTACAGGTGTTCCTTTCCCCCCCATCCCACCCCACCATAGCTCCCCTCCACCCAATTCCCCACTCCACCCCATACCCCCCAGACCCTTTTCCCCCTGAGAATTGTCAGTCCACTCCCTTTCTGTGTCCCTGATTCCATTATATTCACCAGTCCATTCTGTTCTTCAGACATTTTATTCACTTGATTTTTAGATTCACTTGTTGGTAGGTATGTATTTGATGTCTTTTTGTTGTTCATAATTTTTATCTTTACCTTTTTCTTCTTCTTCCTCTTCTTAAAGAATATCCTTCAGCATTTCATGTAATCCTGGTTTGGTGGTGATGAACTCCTTTAGCTTTTTCTTGTCTGTGAAGCTCTTTTTCTGACCTTCAATTCTGAATGATAGCTTTGGTTGTAGGTTCATCACTTTGAATATTTCTTGCCACTCCCTTCTGGCCTGCATAGTTTCTATTGAGAAATCAGCTGATATTTGTACAGGTACTCCCTTTTAGGTAACTATTATAACAGTTTTTCTCTTGTTGCTTGTAAGATTCTCTCTTTGTCTTTTGCCCTTGGCATTTTAATTATGATGTGTCTTGGTGTGGTCTTCTTTGGATTCCTTTTGTTTGGATTTCTGTGCGCTTCCTGGACTTGTAAGTCTATTTCTTTTTTTAAAATAAATCTTTATTGTTCACCTTATTACAAAAGTTCATCATTTTTTTTTCCCTCCACCAGGTTCCTACCCCGCCTTCTGCCCCCCCCCCCCCCCACTGTCTTCATCCATAGGTGCACAGTTTATGTTCAGTCTCTTCCCACACCTCCCACTCCTCTTTTCCCCCGAGGGAAAGTTTTCTGTCATTATTTCTTCTAATAGGTTTTCAGTGTTTTGTTCTCTCTCTTCTTCTGGAACTCCAAAAATTAGGATATTGGTATGCTTAAAGTTGTCCCAGAGGCCCCTTACATTATCTTCATATTTTTGGGTCCTTTTTTCTTTTTGTTTTTCTGGTTGGGTGTTTTTTTGTTTCCTTGTGTTTCAGATCTTTGGTTTGATTCTTGGGCTATGTTGATCTACAGTTGAGTTTCTGTAAATTCTTTATTTCAGACAATGTATTCTTAATTTCTGACTTGTCCTTATCCTTTTTTTTTTTTTTTCTTGTTTCCTCATTTAGGTCCTTAAAGGACTCATCAAGTTAATCAGCAGTTTTTAGAAGATTCTTGAGTAACCTTATAAATGTGGTCCTGAACTCCATGTCATCCCATAGTTTGCTTTCCTCCATTTCCCCCTTTCTTGACATGCCTCTGTGCCTTCGCATTTTAGCTGCTTCCCTGTGTTGATGGAGCAGCTTTGTGTAGTAGATGATCCACAGGGAACAGTAGCTCAGCCTCCCCAATCACCTGAGGTGGACAGTCTTGGTACACACCTTTATGGTGTAGTTAAGCCTTGATTGCTGTTGGTACCTTGAGAGGAATTGTCCTTTAGGCCAATTGGCTGTGTGGACCTGCGTTTATAATGGAAGAACTGCTGCGCTGGAGACACGCTTATGGTGCAGGACTTGTTTCAGTGGGGCTTTGGTGCTTACTGAGTCTGCCTCTTAAATGTGTCAGTTACGGATGTGAAGAGTTGAAATCTGTGTCTCACACTGACCACTAGGTACACTGGCTTCTGGATCTCCAATGGGGTGCAGGTCAGCTACTGTCTGAGGTCACCCTGCAGGAGCTACAGCAAGAACTACAGTCTTCTCTTCCCTGCTTGGGATTTGTAGATTATGGAGCTGTCTGAACCAGTTTGCAAGTTAGTAGTGATAGTGAAGGCCATTCATATCCAAAAGCTGTTGCTTTGGGCTTGGGTGTGTTTGTAGATTGTACAGGGCCGAGTCTTAGGGTGTCACTAGGTGAGGGCGTGGCAAACAGCAATGGCTGGCAGTGAGCCATCCTGTGCTTCCCTGTGTCTCACATCCCAGCTCAGCAAACAATTGTTCCTCCACGCAGCTCTGCAAGCCAGCCACCCTCACTTTCCAACCTGAAGGCAGACAGTCCAGCTTCTCCCTGTAGGAGTTTGGGTCTCACACATCTCCCCTACAGGTTAAAGAAAGCAACGCCCATTACCAGCCGGGATCCGCCGCCAGCCCATATCATGCACCATTGTACCTAAGTTTTTCAGCGTTTGTGTGCTGAATGCTCCCCTCTCTTTCCGTCTGGTTGTAGAACTTCCACTCAGCCAAGCCCTCCTGTGGTTCTGGATGATAGACATTTTGCCTTTTTTTTTTTTTTTTTTTAATCTTTACTGTTCATATTATTACAAATGTTCCTCATTTTTTTTTCCCCTCCATTGATCCCCTCCACCAGGTTCCCACCCCACCCTCTGTCCTTTCCCCACCCCCCATTGTCCTCATCCATAGGTGTACAGTTTTTGTTCAGGCTCTTCCCGCACCCCCCACTCCCCTTTTCCCCGAGAATAGTCAGTCTACTCCCCTTTCTATTATATTCACCAGTTAATATTGTTCATCAAGTTTTTTAATTCCTTGGCTTTTAGTTTCACTTGTTGATAGTTATGTATTTGTTGATCATAATTTTTATCTATATCTTCTTCCTCTTCCTAAAGAACCCCTTTCAGCAATTCATATAATTCTGGTTTGACAGTGATGAACTCCTTTAGCTTTTTATTATTTGTGAAGCTCTTTATCTGGCCTTCGATTCTGAGTGATAGCTTTGCTGGGAAGAGTATTTTTGGCTGTAGATTCTTGCTATTCATCACCTTGAATATTTCTTGCCATTCCCGTCTGGCCTGCATGGTTTCTGTTGAGAAATCAGCTGACAATCATATGGTCATATGGGTGCTCCTTTATAGGTAACTACCTGCTTTTCTCTTGCTGCTTTTAATATTCTCTCTCTGTCTTTTGCTCTTAGCATTTTAATTATGATGTGCCTTGGTGTGGTCCTTTTTGGGTTTCTTTTGTTTGGGGTTCTGTGCGCTTCCTGGACTGATAAATCTATTTCTTTCCCCAGGTGGGGGAAATTTTCTGTCACTATTTCTTACATTATTCTTTTGGTATCTTCCTCTCTCTCTTCTTCTGGGATCCCCATAATTCTGATGTTGGTTCGCTTGAAGTTGTCCCAGAGGTTTCTTACATTATCTTCAACTTTCTGGATTCTCTTGTCTTCTTGCTTCTGTGGAGGAGTGTCCTCTGGTTCTTTGTGTTCCATATATTTGACTTGATTCTTGTGACCTTCCATTCTGTTTTTAAGACTCTGTATAATATTTTTTTTTTATTTCAGACAATGTATTCTTTATTTCTAGTTGATCGCTTTTCATCTCCTCATAGGTCTCATTTATTTTATTGGCCTTTTCTAGGTAATTCTTGAAAAACCTTATAAGTGTGGTTTTGAACTCTATATCCAGTCGCTTCTTGTTCTCCATTTCTTTTGTTTGTGATCTGTTTCCTTGTCTTAGCATTTTCACAGCTTCCCTGAGTTGGTAGGGTGGCTTTGTGTGCTAAGGTGTCCTATATGGTTCAGTGGGTCAGCCTCCCAGTAATCTGAGGTGGACAATCTTGGTGTAGCCCTTTGTGGGCTGTGTGTGCAGTCTTGTTGTTAAGCCTTGCTTGTTGTCGGTATCACTGGGAAGTGTTGATCTCCAAGCCAATTGGCTATGAGGATCAGAAGTGTTTCAGCTAGGAGGGTTTCTGTATTCCGCTTGGATGGGGTGGAGTCTCATGGTGGCACAGCCAAACTGGTGAATCCCGCAAGATTGGTTGCAGGCATGCGCACCTCTTTGGTATAGGCGCAGAGCAGCTTTGAATTCCTGTCTGTGTCTCCCTAAGAGAGTCCTATTCGGGCTAATGAGTAAGCTATCCACTGGAAGGGCTTCTGTGCTCCGCTTCGATGGGGCGGAGTCTCGGGGTGGTGCAGACAAGCTTTAGTCAGCCTCTCCCTATGAGGGTCTGGTTTCTGAGTCCCGCAGTAATGGCCGCTGGCTTCACACACCTCAGAGAGATCTCTGCCCACTGCCTGACAGTCTGGCCTCTCCCTGTCTAGGGCCATCTATCAGCGCAATGGGGTGGTTCTGTTTTCCTCCCGAACAAGAAAGCTAGCCGCGCATTAGCTGTCTGCCCTCTTCGCGCGCAGGGAGTAAGCCAGCAGCGAACTCCGCCTGCCCTCTCCAAGCTCCGCAAACAAGCCAGCAGTGAAGTTGGGCAACTGCCTTTTTGCATGCGCAGTTCTCTGCACCTTCACAGTTCCTGAGGTTCAACGTGCCTTCTCTCTCCATCCCAGATGGTAGTGCCTCCTTTCAGCCAGCCGTCTGGCGCTTCAGGGTGATGTTTCCCCTGTTTTCCAGTTCTAAATTCAAATTTGTTGTGGTGAGTTGCATTCAGGTGTCTACCCTATGCCACCATCTTGGTTACTCCTATGATACCTTTTTCGACATTTTGTCTTTTAGTTGTAGGTTTGAAATTGTGCACGGCCACAGTTTAGG